GAGTTAATGAAATCGGTGCAAGTTGTAAACCAATAAATAGTCGTTTAAAGGCAAATTGGATTGTTCTATCCACCCAATTGGACTCCCAAGGGGTATTAGGGACCATGGTATACATTTCGGCAATTTTTATTTTTCGACGAAAAAAAAGTAAAAAAATTCTAAAATTGAAGGCTAATTATCCACGCTTTTTGAGAAATTTTGGAGGCTTCAGGGCCCGGTGTCGAAAAGCCTAAAAATTTTACACGCTTTTTGAGAAATTTTGAAGCCTTCGACACCCGGTGGCTAAAAGTTTTGAAATTGTAGGGAATACATCTCGAGGTCATATAATGTCGTTTGGAACCATATATGATCATTATTTGTTGTCTTAAATATTCGTGGAAGGCTTGATTTAATGAAATCGGTGCAAGTTGTAAACCGATAAATTGTCGTTTAAAGGCAAATTGGATGGTTCTATCCACCCAATTGGACACCCAAGGGATATTAAGGACCATGGTAGCAATTTTTATTTTTGGACGAAAAAAGTAAAAATATTCTAAAATTGAAAGCTAATATCCACACTTTCTGAGATATTTTGGAGGCTTTGGGGCCCGGTGTCGAAAAGCCTTAAAATTTTAGAAGATAAATCTTGGAGTCATTTAATGTCGTTTGAAACCATATGTGATCATTATATGTTGTCATAAATATTCGTGGTTGGCTTGAGTTAATGAAATAGGTGCAAGTTGTAAACCGGTAAATTGATCGGTTAAAGGTGAATTGGATGATTCCACCCACTCAATGGTATTCCCGGAGGGTATTAGGGACCATGGTAAACATTTTGGAAATTTTTTTTCCGGACGAAAAAAAAGTTAATAAAATTCCAAAAGTGAAGGCTAATATCCACGCTTTTTTTTAAATTTTGGAGTTTTCGAGACTTGGTGTCGAAAAGGCTTGAGATTTTAAGGGATAGATCTCGGGTTCATATAATTTTGTTTGGAACCATATACGATCATTTTATGTTGTCATAAATGTTCGTGGTTGGATTTTATTAATGAAATCGGTGCAAGTTGTAAATTGGTAAATTGGTTGTTTAAAGGAAAATTGGATGGTTCCACCCACCCAATAGGACTCCCAGAGGGTATTAGGGACCATAGTAAAAATTTCGGAAATTTTCATTTTTGGGCGAAAAAAAGTCAAAAAATTCCAAAATTGAAGTCTAATATCCACGATTTTTGAGAAATTTTGGAGGTCTCGGGGCCCATTGTTGAAAAGCCTTGAGATTTTAGGGGATACATCTCATGGTCATATAATGCCGATTGGAACCATATATGATCATTATATGTTGTCATAAATGTTCTTGGTAGGCTTGAATTAATTAAATCGGCGAGAGTTGTAAATCGGTAAATTGGCCGTTTAAAGGCAAATTGGATGGTTCCACCTACCCGATTGGACTCCCGGAGGCTATTAGGGATCATGGTAAACATTTCGGCTATTTTTATAAACAGGCGAAAAAAAAGTCAAAAAATTCAAAAATTGAAGGCTATTATCCATGCTTTTTGAGAAATTTTGGAGCCTTCGACGCCCGGTGGCTAAAAGTCTTTTAAATTCTAGAGAATATATCTCGAGGTCATATAATGTTGTTTGGAACCATATATGATCAATATTTGTTGTCTTAAATATTCGTGGAAGGTTTGAGTTAATGAAATCGGTGCAAGTTGTAAACCAATAAATTGTCGTTTAAAGGCAAATTGGATGATTCTATCCAACCAATTGGACTCCCAAGGGGTATTAGGGACCATGGTAAACATTTCGACAATTTTTATTTTTGGACGAAAAAAAGTAAAAAAATTCTAAAATTTAAGGCTAATATCCACGCTTTCTATGACATTTTGGAGGTTTCCTGACCCGGTGTCGAAAAGCCTTAAAATTTTAGAAGATAAATTTTGGAGTCATTTAATGTCGTTTGAAACCATATGTGATCATTATATGTTGTCATAAATATTCGTGGTGGGTTGGAGTTAATGAAATAGGTGCAAGTTGTAAACTGGTAAATTGGTCGTTTAAAGGCGAATTAGATGATTCCACCCACCCAATGAGACTCCCTTAGGGTATTAGGGACCATGACAAACATTTCGGAATTTTTTTCCCAGACGGTAAAAAGTCCAAAAATTCCAAAATTGAAGTCTAGTATCCACGCTTTTTGTTAAATTTTGGAGGTTCCGGGACCCGGTGTCGAAAAGATTTAAGATTTAAAGGGAGACATCTCGAGGTCATATAATGTCGTTTGAAACCATATATGATCATTATATGTTGTCATAAATTTTCGTGGTTGGATTTTATTAATGAAATCGGTGCAAGTTGTAAATTGGTAAATTGGCCGTTTAAAGGCAAATTGGAAGGTTCCACCCACCCAATGGGACTCCCGGAGGGTATTAGGGACCATAGTAAACATTTCGGCAATTTTCATTTCCGGGTGAAAAAAAGTCAAAAAATTCCGAAATTGAAGTCATTATCCACGTTTTTTGAGAAATTTTGGAGGTTTTGGGGCCTATTGTCAAAAATCCTTGAGATTTTAGGGGATGCATCTCAGGGTCATATAATGCCGTTTGGAACCATATATGATTATTATATGTTGTCATAAATGTTCGTGGTAGGCTTGAATTAATTAAATCGATGAGAGTTGTAAATCGATAAATTGGTCATTTAAAGGCAAATTGGATGGTTCCACCTACCCAATTGGACTCCCGGAGGGTTATTAGGGATCATGGTAAACATTTCGGCTATTTTTATATGCATGGGGAAAAAAAGTAAAAAAATCAAAAATTGACGGCTAGTATCCATGCTTTTTGAGAAATTTTGGTGTATTCGAGGTCTGGTGTTTAAAAGTCTTGAAATTCTAGGGAATAAATCCCGAGGTCATATAATGTCGTTTTGAACCATATATGATCATTATTTGTTGCCATAAATTTTCGTGGTTGGCTTGAATTAATGAAATCGGTGCTAGTTGTAAACAGATAAATTGGTTTTATAAAGGCAAATTGGATGGTTCAATACACCTAATTGGACTCCCGCGGGGTATTAGGGTCCATGGTAAACATTTCGGCAATTTTTATTTTCGGACGGAAAAAAGTCAAAAAATTCCAAAATTGAAGGCTTAATTATCCACGCTTTTTGAGAAATTCTGGAGGTTTCAGGGTCCGGTGTCGAAAAGCCTTAAAATTTTATAAGATAAGTCTTGGGGTCATTTAATGTCGTTGGGAACCATACGTGATCATTATATGTTGTCATAAATGTTCGTGGTATGCTTGAGTTATTGAAATCGGTGCAAGTTATAAACCGGGAAATTGACCGTTTAAAGGCAAATTTGATGGTTCCACCCAACCAATTGGACTCTCGAAGGTTATTAGGGACCATGGTAAATATTTTTCGGCAATTTTAATTTTCGGACGAAAAAAAGTCAAAAAAATCCCAAAATTGAAGGCTAATATTCACGCTTTTTGATAAATTTTGTAGGTTTCGGGATCCGGTGTCGAAAAGGCTTGAGATTTTAAGGGAGACATCTCGGGGTCATATTATGTCGTTTGGAACCATATATGATCATTATATATTGTCATAAATGTTCGTGGTAGGAATGACTTAATGAAATCGGTGCAAGTTGTAAATCAGTAAAATGACCGTTTAAAGGAAAATTGGATGGTTCCACCCACCCAATGGGACTCCTGGAGGGTATTAGGGACCATGGTAAACATTTTGGCAATTTTTATTTCCGGGCGAAAAAAGTCAAAAAATTCCAAAATTGAAGTCTAATATCCACGTTTTTTGGAAATTTGGGAGGTTTCGGGGCCTATTGTCGAAAAGCCTTGCGATTTTAGGGGATAAATCTCATGGTCATATAATGCCATTTGGAACAGTATATGATCATTATATTCTATCATAAATGTTCGTGGTAGGCTTGAATTAATTAAATCGGTGATAGTTGTAAATCGGTAAATTGACCGTTTAAAGGCAAATGGGATGGTTCCTCCTACCCAATTGGACTCCCGGAGGTTATTAGGAATCATGGTAAACATTTCGGTTATTTTTATATGCAGACAAAAAAAGTGTAAAAAATTCAAAAATTGAAGGCTAGTATCCACGCTTTTTGATAAATTTTGGAGGTTTTGGGACCCGGTGTCAATAAGACTTGAGATTTTAAGGGGTACATCTCGGGGTAATATTATGTCGTTTGGAACCATATATGACCATTATATGTTATCATAAATGCTCGTGGTAGGATTGAGTAATTGAAATCAATAAATTAGCCCTTTAAAGTCAAATTGGATGGTTCCCACCCAATTGGACTCCCAGAGGGTATTAGGGAACATGGTAAATATTTCGGCAGTATTTATTTTCGGGCGAAAATAAGTCAAAAAATTCAAAAATTGAAGATTATTATCCACTTTTTGTAAAATTTTGGAGGTTTCGGTGCTTGGTGTCGAAAAGTCATATAATGTCGTTTGGAACCATATTTGATCATTATTTGTTGTCATAAATGTTTGTAGTGGGCTTGACTTAATTAAATCGGTGCAAGTTGTAAACCGGTAAATTGACCGTTTAAAGGCAAATAGGATGGTTCCACCCACCCGATTGGACTCCCAAAGGGTATTAGAGACCAGGGTATTAGGTTAGGTCAGGTTGGGTTTGGGTCACCATTTTTTCGGGTTTAGATGATTCAGTTAATCATCGAATTTGAGTCGGTATTTTGGGTCGGGTCAACTTTTGACAGCTCTATCCCTCTCTTAAAATTTATAAACTCTATTACCTTACTTGTATTTCACTTAATAACATTTACTTCCTTTAATTTACTTCCCAATTCCAAATTGGAAAATCAAACGGGTAGGAGAGTGTATTTCGTAAATTGGTAAACATGTGGGATAATAATAATAATAATAATAATAATAATAATAATAATAATAATAATAATAATAATAATAATAATAATAATAATAATAATGAATTAGTTAATCAATTATCTTCAAAAAAAATAATAAAAAAAAAATCAATCAATCAGTATATCCAATACAACACTGATACTCCAACTAGAGCTCAAGAAGGAACTAGTTCCATACTTTTTCCTGATTTATCTTCCAAGATTGCAATATTTCATCTGCTGAAGGTAATCGTGGATGATCTATATCGCTGGCTTTAGAATCCCAATCATCAAATGTTAACATTTCTTCGAAGGTATCTTGACTATGCGATTGCACATGTAAAAAACCCTCACCTAAACAGGCAATTTTATCAGAGGCCACATCAACAAAGCTAGATGACTTGCTGCTCAAGATGGCTTTGTCATCTTCATCAGAACCATCACCAGAACTAACAGCATGAAGCTCATTCATACCGGGCTTTCCATAACTAGATTGACCAACTGTTATTTTATCTTGGTAGAAGTCATCATTAAGCAGTTTTTGGTGTCCACCAGTATAGTATGCAATTCTTCCATTGACACAGGTGCCCTTGGCAGCATATGAATCACTACAAGAGGTGCTCTCAGCTGATGCTGACCCACATATAGAATGCAAAGCTTTCACCAGTTCTGAGGCCGTGGATTCACTCGACAAATTACATTCACTAAGTGTAGTGGATAATTTTTTAAGGTGTTCATCACTGATCCTATCCTTATTCTTTCTAAAGAGATCAGTCCAGTCTTTCTCATTTATTTGAAATGGAGCATGAGCCATTGAATTGACAAGTCTGGCAGCTTTTTCGTAATCATCCTGCAACATTGCTTGGCAGACCATTTCAGAGAATAGCATTGGATGTGGGATTTTTCCAGCTTCCAAAGTTGTTTCAAAGGCATGTTCCAATAAATGCCACTGCACAAGGAATAAAAATGTTCAATAATGATAAATTTTTTTGCACAATGAAACTATCAAAATAAAGACTGCATTAGAATTCTTGAATTAATTCCATTGCTTTACCTTGCCTGCTTTTGATGCTTCGACAAGCAGTACTGCATGTTTTTCCTGATCAAACTGGTATCCTGAAAAGCACATTTCCTTGTAAACATACTCAAAGTACTCCCACTGATGTGCATAAACTGATGCTTCAAGCACTGCTCCATATGTATAGAAATCTGGGATTAGAGGAGTGTCACCATCACCCAGAAAAGCTTTGTATCCAGCTTTGACTTTCTCAACTAACTCCTTAACCTCTAAGAACATATCATTACGCCCATAGACCTTTAACATAGCATTTACAGTTCCAATGTTTGGAGGACAATGATCTAGCATTTGCTCAAATATAGATATGCAATCATCAACATATCCACCATCCATAGAAGACATAATCATGCCAGTGAAAGTCACGGCCAATGGTTTTGTAAGACGCAGTTTTTTCAACTTCTCAATCTGCCAATGAATTCAGAAAATAAAAAAACCTTTCAAGAAAAGGATAAAGTGCGATAAAAGTTCCATATTCATATCACACCAAAAACAAGCAATCTAGATCCATGTTGCTTACCTCCATCACTGCTTCTTGCCACCTTCCTTTGTTGCAAAGGCAGCACGCTAGTTCATAGTACACGCTGGCAGATCCCTTTATCCCCCTTTGTTCCATGTCCCTGACTATACGCACAGCTTCATCAACTTTACCTTCGTTCCAGAATGTTCTGACAAGAACTAACATAAAACTCAAAGGTAAGCCAATAATGCAAGGCAAAGTAAGGACAAGGCAAAGTAGCTAGGGGCCTAGGGTAACATAAGGTCCATGGGAAACACCATGACCACTTTCATTCTAAACCCGGGAAAAATTAAAAATATAAAGCCAAAATTAAAGGCCATAACACACGAAATTGAAGCAATTTAGGAGGTTACTGGTCCTGGTATAATAAAATCTCAAGATAATAGGGGATTCATTCCAAGGTTATATAATGTCTTTTGTTACCGTATATGATCATTATACAATGTCATAAAGGCAAAGATGATGGTTCCACCCACCCAAATAGACCCCCGAAGTGAATTTGGATCTATGGGTATCATCTCGACAATGTTTTTACGGATCCAAAGAAGTAAAAAATTGTCCGAAATTGAGGCTATAATCCACAATTTCGAGCAAATTTAGATTTTTTTTTTACAAAAATGAACGAAATGTGTGGGGTGCTCATTGAGGTTATATAAGTTAGTTTTGAAGAACAAGACACCTACAAAGATGTCTACACAACCCAAAGAATGAGTTTAATTTGATTCAATCATTTTAGGAGAAAGAAAGCTAGCTAAATTATTGGTTAAAGATGGACCCAAATAGTATCTGGGGTAACATGAATTTCATTGGAAACACCATGACCACTTTCCTTTTCGAACTTGAAAAAGTAAAAAATTATCAAAAATTGAAGGCTATAATACACGAAATCGAAGCAATTTTGGAGGTTACAGGTCCCGATGTCAAAAAATCTTGAGATAATAGGGGATACATTTCAAGGTTATATAATATCATTTGTTACCATATATGATCATTACATGTTGTCATAAATTCTCATGATGGCCTTTGAGTTAAAGATAAAGGCATAAGATGTTGATGTCTATAATTGACAATTTAAGGCTAAGTGGATAGTTACCCCCACCCATACGGACCACCAGAATGTATTTGGGTCTATGGGTATCATCTCAACAAATTTTTTTTCATGGGTCCAAAAAAGTCAAAAATTGTCCAAAATTAAAGGCTATAATCCATGATTTCGAGCTAATTTTAGATTTTTTTTCCAAAAATAAACGAAATGTATGACGTGCCCCTAGAGGTTATATAAGTCAATTTGGAATCATGAGACACCTATAAAGATGTCTATAAAGCCATAAGAATAAATTTAGTTTGATCCAATCAAATTAGGAGAGTGAAAACTAGCTAAATTATTGGTTAAAAGACAATAAGAAGGAACTAAATAGTTTCCTAGGGTAAAATAGGGTCGATGGGAAACACCATGACCTCATTCCTTCCAAACCCAAAAAAAAAAAAAAAAGCCAAAATTGAAGGCCATAAAACACAAAATTAAAGCAATTTAAAAGGTAACTAGTCCTTCTATCAAAACATCTCGAGATTATAGGGGAAACATCCCAAGGTTATATAATGTCGTTTGTTACTGTATATGACCATTATATATTGTCATAAATGTCAATTGTGGCCTTTGAGTAAATGAAAAATGTGTAAGATGTTGATGTCTCTAATTGACAATTAAAGGCAAAGCAAATGGTTCCACCTACCCAAATCGACCATCATTGTGTATTTGGGTCTAAGAGTATCATCTCGACAATTTTTTTTATAGGTCTAAAAAATTCCAAAATTGAAGGCTATTATCCACACTTTCGTGCGAATTTCAGAATTTTTTCGAGAAATGGACGGAATGTGTTGGGTGCCAATGAGGTTATATAAATTAGTTTGGAACCATATGACACCTACAAAGATCTATATAGCCCCCAAGAATGAGTTTAGTTTGATCAAATCATATTAGGAAAGTGAAAACTAGCAAAATTATTGGTTAAAAGGCAATTAGATGGACCAAATAGTATCCCGCGGTAACATAGGTTTCATGGGAAACACCATGACCTCTTTCCTTTTCGAACATGGAAAAGTAAAAAAAATATCCAAAATTGAAGGCTATGATACACGAAATTGAAGCAATTTTGGAGGCTACAGGTCCAGGTGTCAAAAAATCTTGAGATAATTGGGGAAACATTTCAAGGTTATATAACGTCATTTGTTAACATATATGATCATTACATGTTGTCATAAATTCCCATAGTGGCATTTGAGTTAATGTTAAAGGCATAAGATGTTGATGTCTATAATTGACAATTTAAGGCTAAGTGGATTGTTTTCCCCACCCATATGGACCAGAGGAGTGTATTTGGGCCTATGGTTTTCATCTCAATTTTTTTTTTGGTCCAATAAAGTAAAAAATTGTCCAAAATTGAGGGCTATAACCCATGATTTTGAGCTAATTTTATATTTTTTTTCCAAAAAAAAAAGGAATGTATGGGGTGTCCCTAGAGGTTATATAAGTTAATTTTGAATCATGAGACACCAATAAAGATGTCTATAAAGCCATAAGAATAAATTTAGTTTGATTCAATCATATTAGGATAGTGAAAACTAGCTAAATTATTGGTTAAAAGGCAATAAGAAGGAACTAAATAGTTTCCTAAGGTAACATAAGGTCCATGGGAAACACCATGACCTCTTTCATTCAAAACCCGTAAATAAAAAAAAGAAATTAGCCAAAATTGAAGGCCATAACACACAAAATTGAAGCAATTTAGGAGGTTATTGGTCCTACTATCAAAACATCAAGAGATTATAGGGGAAACATCCCAAGGTTATATAATGTCGTTTGTTACTGTATATGATCATTATATGTTGTCATAAATGTTAAAGTGCCCTTCAGTTAATGAAAAAGGCGTGAGATGTTGATGTCTTTAATTGACAATTAAAGGCAAAGTCAATGATTCCACCTACCAAAATAAACCTTCGTTGTGTATTTGGGTCTATGAGTATCACCTCGACAATTTTTTTTTCGGATTCAAAAAAGTAAAAAATTGAAGGCTATAATCCACAATTTCGTGCGAATTTAGTTTTTTTTTTCCAAAAAATGAACGGAATGTGTTGGGTGCCCCTTAAGGTTATTTAAATTAGTTTGGACCCATACGAAACCTACAAAGATCTATATAGCCCTAAGAATGAGTTTAGTTTCATTCAATCATATTAGGAAAGAGAAAGGTAGTTAAATTATTGGACAAAATGCAATAAGATGGACCAAATAGTATCCCGAGGTAACATAGGTTTCATGGGAAACACCATGACCTCTTTCCTTTTTGAACTTGGAAAAGTAAAAAAATTATCCAAAATTGAAGGCTATAATACACAAAATCGAAGCAATTTTGAAGGCTATAGGTCCCGGAGTCAAAATATCTTCAGATAATAGGGGATACAATTCAAGTTTATATAATGTCATTTGTTAACATATATGATCATTACATGTTGTCATAAATTCCCATGGTGGCCTTTGAGTGAAAGATAAAGGCATAAGATGTTGATGTCCATAATTGACTATTAAAGGCTAAGTGGATTGTTTCCCCCACCCATATGGACCACCAGAGTGTATTTGGGTCTATGGGTATCATCTCAACCATTTTTGTCATGGGTCCAAAAGAGTTGAAAATTGTCCATAATTGAAGGCTATTATTCATGATTTCGAGCTAATTTTAGATTTTTTTTTTACAAAAAGAAATGGAATGTATAGGGTGTCCCTAGAGGTTATATAAGTTAATTTGCAATCATATGACACTTAAAAAGATGTCAATAAAGCGATAAGAATAAATTTAGTTTGATTCATTCATATTAGGAGAGTGAAAACTAGCTAAAATATTGGAAAGGCAATAAGATGAAACTAAATAGTTTCCTAGGGTTACATAGGGTCAATAAGAAACACCATGACCTCTTTTCTTCCAAACCCGAAAAAAAAATAGACAAAATTGAAGGCTATAATACACGAAATCGAAGCAATTTTGGAGGCTACAGGTCCCGGTGTCAAAAAATCTTGAGATAAGAGGGAATACATTTTAAAGTTATATAATGTCATTTGTTACCATATATGATCATTACATGTGGTCATAAATTCCCATGGTGGCCTTTGAGTAAATGATAAAGGCATAACATGTTGATGTCTATAATTGACGATTTAAGGCTAAGTGGATTGTTTTCCCCACCCATATGGACCACCGAAGTGTATTTGGGTCTATGAGTATCATCTCAAGGTTTTTTTTTTCATGGATCCAAAAGAGTAAAAAATTGTCCAAAATTGAAGGCTATAATCCATGATTTCGAGCTAATTTTCGATTTTTTTCCAAAAAGAAACAAAATGCAGGGGGTGTCACTAGAGGTTATATAAGTTAATTTGGAATCATAAGACACCTATAAAGATGTCTATAAAGCCATAAGAATAAATTTAGTTTGATTCAATCATATTAGGAGAGTGAAAACTAGCTAAATTATTGGTTAAAAGGCAATAGAAGGAACTAAATAGTTTCCTTGGGTAACATAGGGTCCATGGGAAACACCATGACCTCTTTCCTTCCAAACCCTCAGAAAAAAATAAAAATTAGCCAAAATTGAAGGCCATAACACACAAAATTAAAACAATTTAGGAGGTTATAGGGAAAACATCGCAAGGTTATATAATGTTGTTTGTTACTGTATATGATCATTATATGTCGTCATAAATGTCTAAGTGGCCTTGAGTTAATGAAAAAGGCGTAAAATATTGATGTCTCTAATGGACAATTAAAGGCAAAGTAGATGGTTTCACCTACCCAAATAGACCTTCGTTGTGTATTTGGGCCTATGAGTATCATCTCCATAATTTTTTTTTCCAGGTCCAAAAAAGTCCAAAATTTAAGCCTAATCCACGATTTCGTGCGAATTTTAGATTTTTTTTACAAAAATAAACGGAATGTGTTGGGTGCCCCTTGAGATTATATAAATTAGTTTGGATTCTTTGAAACCATACTAAACCTACAAAGATCTATATAGCCCCAAGAATGAGTTTAGTTTGATTCAATCATATTAGGAAAGAGAAAGGTAGTTAAATCATTGGTCAAAAGGCAATAAGATGGACGAAATAGTATCCCGCAGTAACATAGGTTTCATGGGAAGCACCATGACCTCTTTCCTTTTTGAACTTGGAAAGGTAAAAAACTATCCAAAATTGAAAGCTATAGTACACAAAATCGAAGCAATTTTGGAGGCTACAAGTTCCGGTGTCAAAAAATCTTGAGATAATAGGGGATACATTTCA